GCATAAAAAATAAAGAAGAAGGAAAAAATGTTTGAAATAAAAATAAAGAAACATAAATAGCGGAATTTAAAAAAAAACATGCGTGAGTGTCGTGTACACTCGGTTGGACCGAAGTTTCCTTCGTAGTATGTTATTATTTATAAACGTATTATATTATTGTCTAACAAATATGAATAAATGAATTACTAGCGTCTATTAAAATGAAGCATCACTTAAAATAATATTTCTATTTTAAATGATGCTTTATTTTGCTATATTTTTTTTATAGCAAGATAATATAAACTGCGAGGGAGATGGATGTTAATCCATTTCGCTCGCATTGTAGAGAGGTGGTCGTGACGGAAAAATCTTGTACTTTTTCTCATCTAGCCCTCATCCGTCAAATTCGTACCGCGCAATAAGTATATTCGTTCCAAAATTTCTGACTGATTTGCAGCAACGAAAGGCTGGCTACCGGCTCAGCATAGTGCTATAATAACAGATTTATCACAACGCTGATATTCTCTTAAGAATATCTGCCACTTTTTTTATTATTTTATCCCCATTTTGCAAGAGAGGATGTGGAGAATTTTGTTAGAGAGAGATGCAATACGCGACGTCTTGCACATATGATACTGCTGCTAGTCGCTGGTCTGAGTATTTACGTCTGATCTATACGAAATGGTACCGCCATCTATTGCAAGACATAATATTTTGCTGGCATCATCTAAGATGGGTAAGCCTTTTTTGAAGAATTTTAATTGTGTTAATTTCTGGTGAAACGTATTAAAAGAGGCAATTTGTTGTAAAAATCAACATTTATTAAACAATTTAACAGAAAATTAAATAACTTTAACGTTAATTTCTGTCTTAATAATTGCTATGTTTATTTCTTTTAGTCACACACAGATGCACTTCTAAACAGTTAAATCTTAGTTATGAAACGAACTTAGTTAAAAATCATATTCTTAATAACTATAATATTATCTAGTAATTCTAGTATCTAATCATAGTTCATAATTTCATTGTTAATTCTCATAATCACATATTTGTTTCATGTATTGTATTGCGTGCTCAGTAGTTACGTAGTAGACCAAGTAATTATTCATTAAACTAACACATGGTGCTAGGCTCCTTCAATTATTTGAAAATAAAAGTGATTACATAACAATTTCGACAATCTTGTCTCGTCTCGAGTCCCGACCAGAAAGTCTCGGGACTCGAGACAACTAAAATTACGAAAAGTCCCGGGACTTCGAGACACGAGACGTCCCGGGACCTAAACCCTACAACGAACGAAATGGGGTAGTGGATTATCTTAAACTACCATCTTATGACTTATTGGTTAAAGAGTGCTTTATTGCACCACGTTTTATTTATATTATAAGAGTGACAAAGGAACACACAGTCCACCCGATGGTAAGTGGATGCCGTTGCCCATAATCCGATTAAGAATTCTAAAATGAGGACTGAAATGGAATGCCTCTTTTCCAGTAAAAAGGGTCTCCGGTTCCCTATACTCACCATATGAAACACAGCAGCATCAAGGTGCTATTTTAAGCTGGTTTTCTTTGAGAATGTGTTGATGATGAACCATTTGTGCCACAATCATAATACAGCGTGGCTCTACCACATAAAAATTATATTTTACAAAATATCGTAATTACTCTGTTTTAAAATCAGTTATATATTTAGCTACATTAAAGACACCGGAACACCATATTATATGATTGCACAATTTAACACGTTAATTGCATGCATTATTTCATGAAATTTAAAGTGAGAATATAACACTGACAGATCAAATTTATGAGAGAGCGTCGCTAAACTGATAACAGTCATTTGTATCGCTTCGCAAACCGTGGCATTTGTTAATTGCCGTGACTTACATGTGTTGTTCCATAAATTAATATCATTACATTCGTAATCATTTATCCTCTGCGAATTGTAATAGTAATATATAATGATCAATTTAGGTTTAAATTTATCCCTAAAGCATATTTCATAAAACGATCAAAGTTTATTTAAAGTGTCTTCCTCTTCTTTGAAGCTTTAAAAAGTCCTTGCCATTATCGTCACACCCGGTAGGCGGATTGCTAATGGCAATACATGAAGTCTCACGGCTTCGATGTTATCAACCTTTGCCGAACCAGACACCTCAGGTCCGACCTAAATAGAACGGTTAATACAGTCACCATATCAGTGCCTATGAGTTCTTTCCGATATTTTAGATAGTCGCCTTTGCGATACCCACGGGTGAAAGGAGGTAATGAAATCCTTACGCCACGCACATGTTAACTGTATGTCTGTCAAATGTGACGATATTTAAAATGTATTTCTAAAACAAAAAAATTATAATTCAAAGTTGACATATCCCTCTGCTAAATTAAAAATATAAAATAACTATAAAAATCATATTATAATTAAACAATTTTCATTTTTTAATCAAAATATATCTCAAGGAATTGACAGGCGATGGAAAAGAAAAGTTATCGATTGACAGCCTCGTGACAGAAATTCAATGAATGCGGGTAGCTCAGGACCTTGTTTGTTCCAATCTTTGAGGAAGAACTGTATTCACCACTGGACTCGTTAAATTGGAACGATGATGATTTAAATACTTTAAATCGTTCGAAATGTTTCTAATTAAACCTTTTTAAATGATAATAAAATTTAATTTTATAGTATTTAATACATCTTTACTGATTACCAAATAGCTTATATTTTCGACGAATCTCAAGATCAGGGAAGCTACCGTGAATTCACAATTGAGTCACACAAAATAGTACTTCAATTTAAGTTACAATTTTGTACACAATTTCTTTATCCGTCTCATTCAAGAAATTACTTATTAACTTTAACTGTTATCATTCACCTGTTTGTTTATACCTGCAGCCTTTTCAGCGATCATAATAACAACAGCATTGACATTACCTCCAATCAGAGTGGGTGTTATACTAGCGTCGAAAACACGCAAACGTTGCATGCCTAACATTCTCAACTGAGCGTCTACTGAACCTAATGCCGATGTCCCAACATTATGATAATATGGTGTTATTTCGCACAGTATAGTGTATTTTTGCCTTTACCACCTTTGTGCACTCTTTGGCATATTTAATAATCGAACCAAAAATTAAAAATTAACTTACATTTAGAATTATTCGGTACAATAAAATTGACGACTTGATAGACCGTAAATGTCTGAGATTTGTTAAAAGTAACGTAACCTGTGAACGTTGTATATGGAAATTTATGTGGATTTATTGGTTGAAAAGATGCATGGGATTATTCCATTTTAATCAATAAAAATACTGATACGTGATCGTGGTAGTTGAAACCAACTAGTAAATGAATTTGAACTGAAATACCTAATTCACAATTACTACATATCCATTAAAACCGTGAAACTTCTTATACCCTGAATGCAGTATCTGAGGATCTCGAAGTTTTTCGCTCTTCATAAAGTATGGGAATACTCCATTACAGTTCCAAGACGAGTCATTCGCTGCTGTGGCCCAGAATTCATAGTCATGTGGACTACCTCTAACGTAGTTTATACTGATTCCTTCACTCAAAACTGCAGCGCTGGTTAAATTAGCTTCGTGATTTCTGTGACATTACATCGTTCTGTAGTCATTCAGTGAAGTATGATTTTTATCCAAAATCCGAATTAAAAAAAACTCTGTAACTGTGTAATATTTTCTTTAAACATTAGTTCCACCTAAAAATCACCATGAAATCGAGAGCTTGGTAGCAGAACTCCTGTTATATGAAGGAATTTCAACCGCCAAAGAACAACATGCCCGCTGTTGAGTTTCTATGAAGGAGAGTGAAGATTAAGTTATTTAACTTTAGCTTAGCTGAGGTACTTTCTTTTAGCACTCAAGAGCAGCAACCCAGCTCTGCCACTATAATTACAGTCCATCACAAGTCAGATCCTGATCCAACCTGTATTCATCAACTACTTGTGTTCTTTTTATAGGATACGGTGACAAACTAGCACACAGTTCACCTGATGGTAAGTGGTTGCTGTGGCCTATAGACATCTACATCTATCCTCTATTACGAATCAAAATGCAGATGCGTTGTCACCCGTGAGGACTAAGATAGAATGCCTCGTTTCCAGTAAAAAGGGTCTCCGGTTCTTTACACTCACCATATTAAACACAGCAACGTTAAGGTATTCTGTGAGAGCGTGTTCCGTCCCCGGTCGAGCTGACCCATTCGTGCTACAACCATAATATAGCTGCAGCATGACTATACCACTCCTCAGTATGCGATTCAATTCACAACGCTTTGCCGACTGATCGACCCTTACGAATGTATGCGTACGTAGTAAAGTAGAAGGTATTAGATATTTATGAATGACAATCAGTTAAAATAATAAGTCCCCACGGGTGTTGAATTTAAAAGACAAAAGGACAGAATGTTTGAGTTTTTTTAATTCATTTATCTTCAACATTTGCCTATTTTACTTGTTCTGAACCTTCTCTGCAAATTTAGCCGGTTATTGAAAAATAACCCTGTATATATAGCCTGCTTCATGTATATATTTAGAAGAAATACCATCACATCCAGTTGCCGCTGAGTTTTTAAGTGAAATTATAATTTTGCGAATTTCTACTTCACATGTGGGCCGTAATATTAAAATTTCTCCAGGGGTAGATATTATTTGTGTTTGTATTAGGGGTATTTTTACTTGTTTCTTGCTATTGATAATTAAGTAACTAATTTGCTTGTAACTAGTTTTTAGAATTTACAATTTTAAAGAGCTTCATATGTAAGTTCTTATTTTTTATAGAAAAAAATTCTTAGTCTTAGGCCGTGACAAAACTATTATTGTTTTTCACATCAATACAAAAAATCTTTTATATTAGATAACTAATGCAACATATCAAAATTTTAGGCAAAAATAGACGAATACAAATATTACAAGTATCAATTATTACGAACAAAAATAATAAAAACATAACACATATTAATATTTATTTCTACCAAAACAGTACTTGTCACAATAACATTTAAACATTTATAAATGGTCGACTAGGTACAATATTCATCGATAAATCTCTTTTGATCATATCTGCAGCTTTCTCTGCGATCATTACAACTGCTGCTAGAATGTTACCGCCGATGAGACTAGGCATGACACTAGCATCTACAACTCGAAGTCTTCTTACACCACGAACACGTAGCCTTGAATCCACAACCATACCCATCGCACACGTGCCACTGTAGTCATGCATTGTAGATACCATACAGCCAATATAACAACGCCAGTATTCTCTACTCCAAAGTTTAAATCCAAAACATCGTGACCCCGTCAGGTCAACTAATTCCGCATTCATATCTTTAAAATGCGTCGTATTAACAACTCCAGTAAAATCCTTTATATAGCTTACTAAATCTTCTAAATCACTTTCATCAGAAAACAAACCGCTGTAAATGAGTGGAGGTTCTCTCGGCGATGCACTCCGTAGCATCACTCGACCACGAGATTTCGGATGCAAAAGATTTATTAAGCTTATAATACTTTTTCTATCCTTTACTCCATTTTTCAGAGTTTGGCATATATCATTATAAAATCCTATAAGTAAAGAACAGAATGTATTGGGCATAGGTGAATCGTTTGGTATAGCAAAGTTGATGCTTTGATAATCAGGATTAATCTGAGCTTTATTTAATGCTACATAACCAGTAAGTGTTGGCATTGGAAAATTATGAGGATCGTTGCGAGGTGGTGGATTATTTGACCTCTCAGTTAGAATTGACAATAGCACAAGCGGGTGATCTTGTAGATTGTAACCAACTGGAAGATTACTCCTTACGTTTATATTCAAAACCCTTAAATGTTCTTCTGGACCAATTCCTGACAACATTAAAAGTTGTGGAGTGTTGAATGCGCCCGCAGAAATAACAACCTCTCTACTGGCCTTGAGTACGAACGTTTCATTATTATGTGTAATTGCTTCCACGCCGATTGCATTGTTGTTATTATCAAAAAGTATTTTTGTTGCAACAGCGTTTTTCATGACATGTAAATTTGACCGGCCTCTAACTGGGGTTATATATGCAAATGCAGTTGTCTGTCGGGCACCGCCGGCTATCGTGAACCACTGATTAGTATAACCGATGGTTTCGTTTCCATTTATGTCGAAAACTTCCGATTTGCCATCCTCCTTGAATCCGTTTAAATATTTAGAGAAATCATTGGTAGGTTCTCTGGTTACACCTAAATATCCATTGTAGCCGTGACTGTCTTTCAATGGTGAATTAAATATTGAAGAATCTTCCAGCCTTTCGCTTTTGAGGAAATATGGAAAAACGCCATCCCAATTCCATGTACTATCATTGGCTACGGTGGCCCACATTTGATAATCAAACGGACTACCACGTCCATAAAACATATAGCCAACGCTGCTACTACCTCCTAAAACTTTCCCGCTAGTATGATGAAGAACTCGACCTTTATGGCATTGGGAGTATTGCGTACTTTCTGATGTATAGTTCCAGTCAAGACGAGATTCCGCTGTAAGGTAGAACATACCGGCAAGCTGCAAATAATATTTTATTTTAATTTATTTTAACGAAAAAAAAATAAAAATAATGTAGAAATATTTAAAAAAATGTTTAAAGTCTAAATATGCAGTTTATAGATAAATTATCGTTTAAATTGTGTAAAAAACTGTTTTTTGTGAACAGTTTATCCCTAGAAAAAATGCCATTTCATGCCTATACCATAAATTATTCATTTTATTTTGTACATGTACTTGCTACTGGACTGTATAAATAGATCAGAATGTAATAGAAGAAAGGAAAAGAGATAATCTCATAGATAATAATTTTATTTCTATGGATCATCATCTGAAATACAGAAGACTAGTAGCAGAAGCAACAACTACGACACAAGCAATCAATTTTTTTAACTGAAGTTACAAACTAGCTTACAATCCATCTGATGGTAAGTGGCTACTGTAGTCCATGATTTATTTATATACGTTGTCTCACTGGGTACTAAATTAGAATTTCTCATAGCTTGTAATTAAACTGGCTTACTGCACCTTTGAGACCGAAACACATCAGTTCAACCTATTTGGCAGCAGAAATAGGCAAGAGTGTAGTAGGCAGAAAAAGAGTGAACAGAATAGACTAGAATATTTTTTTATTTAATATAGATCACATGTATGTTATTCTTATTAATAGTCATTTTTACTTTACCACTGGTTCGGAAAAACCTCTGTACTGGAAAGAACTATAATCTAAATTGTTTAAACAATTCTAAACTCTTACAATTTATTTCAATTCTAAACTCTTTACAATTTAGATTATAAAGGGCGATTTATAATCTAAATTGTAAAGAGTCCCTTAGAGAAAAATTTAAAGAAATAAACATATTAACTTTGGCATCGCAATATATTTATGAAAATGTAATGTATGTACATAAAAACATAAATAGCTTTAATAAGAATAAGGATGTTCATACCTTAAACACTAGGAACAAACATAAGCTTGTAATGCCACTTACAAGACTCCACAGAATTAGTAATTCATTTATGGGGCAATGTATACGCTTTTACAACAGAATCCCAGAACATGTTCAAAGTTTGTCAATAAACAAGTTTAAAAGTTTTATTAAAGAAAAACTGTACAAAAAGGGTTATTATAATATCAAGGAATACATGAATGAAAATAACCCCTGGGAATAAGGTGATCGCCACCATGCTGGTTCTATGAAAATTCATTTAAAATTGTATAAACAAAATTATTGTTAAGTGAAATTATGTTTAAAAAAAAAGTCCCGCTGGGTTTCTTGCTGGTTCTTCCCAGGACAGAGGTATTTTCCGAACCAGTGGTAAATAAAATAATGACTTTCAATAAGTATTATGTAATAATCCATATTGAATAAAAATCATTCTATTCTATTCTATTCTATTCTATTCTATTCTATAACTAACAAGAAACCCAGCGGGACTTTTTTTAAGTAAACTTTACATGAAAGTTTGTACAAACTATTTATTTTAAATTATAATTAATAATTTTATGTATAAATTTTATTTTAGAACCAGCTTAGAAGCGACCAACTCATTCATTTATATTATAATAACCATTTTTAAGTAGTGACGGGGATAGTGCACGCAATAGAGGGAGGGAGGGAGGTGCTCTCCAAACTAGGTAAGACACATCATTTTATTTTATCGGGCGGATGTACGCAAGGTAATTTTTACCAACTTTAATATAATGGATTTCCGCAAAGGAACGCCTGATTCTATTAATTAGAATTCTTATAGAAAGTACATTTTAAATTTTACCACTCAAAAAACTCTTATGTCCTGAGAAGAACCAGCAAAAATCCCAGCTATACAATTATTGTTAACAAAACTCTTATAAGAAACAGTTTGAAAGCAAACACCTCATTTCCAGGGGTCATTCTATAATAACCCTTTTTATAAAGTTTGTATTTAAAGATAACTTGTATATTTTCTGGGACTTTGTTTTAAAAGCGTACACATTACCACATTATTATGAACAAGCTCTGTGAAGTCGTATATGTAAGTGACTGACTAAGTAACTGGTATCACTATCTTTAATAAAACTATTTTTATTATTGTAAAATAAATTTTCGGGCTTGAAAAACTAACCAGTACTTCAAGTGACGGATCGTCGCCTGCTTCGATGAGCAGTACATTAATATTTTTGTCTTCTGTGAGTCTGTTTGCAAGCACACTACCCGCTGCACCTCCGCCAACTATAATGAAGTCATAAGTGCTGTAATCTGAAACAAAATAATGCATTGTTGGAAATGAGCGTAAAAGATAAAAGGGAACACGAACAAATGAAGATAGAATGGTTATATCCCACTTGTAGTAGCAGTATGAAGTATCACACAGGCGACTAAGAGGCATCAGTCTGTAATTCTACGAGTCTTATTGTCCTTACTATTCTACTAGTGTAGGCAAGGAAGATCGTGTTACTGAGAGGCGGCCCTGTGTTACATTGAGATGGGTAGTGATACTGTTGGTTGGCATACTTTGGTGTTTTCTTGTAATTGGGTCCTCATAGTTAGCAGAGTTTGTTACCGAGTAGTGTTCTTGTATTTAAATAGTTTTGAGAATAATTTTTAACATCCGAAGTGCAATAATTTCTTACAGCATATATTTACGTATTACATTTTACGTGCCTCTTTTATTTCTGTGTTTTTAATCAAATCTCTATCACTGCACATACATATTTTAGGTACCAAAGCAATATTAAGTCACAATCAATGGGTGACAACGTTTATGAATTGGACCATGTTGTGCAGAATTGCTTCAACCCTCAAAAACATAAGGTTATTTAGATTTGAAAGATAATATGTACATTTTTCTTTTGCCCGAAGAAATATTATATCATGTTATGAATATCGTTTAAAAGAAAATTTAATATAGATTTTAGAATTACAGTTATAAACTGAAAAGGAGCCTCTGGATATTGGCCAGTATGTGGGTTGGAGATCATATAGTCACAACACAGTTCAATTAATAAGGAAAGTGGCGTAGCATTGATTGCTACATCGGACTTGCTAGAGCCGCTATTTTCAAAACTATTTAAAAATCTCTCGTCTTGTTTTATATATATTTTATACCCTTACCAAGTGTATCTGCAGATTACCTCTATTTTCAGAACTGTTAGTTCCACAGTGCTCATAATATTGTTTAAAAAAAAAGGAAAAATAAGATTTTCTTCAATTAGTCGCCTGTTAGTAGCCACATGTTCCTCAGTGATCACAGTTAAGAGGCCACCTTTACGAATTTCATAATGGAGAGAAACCCGACCGCGCTCAAATTCTGCATACCCAATGCCTTACGGTGCTAAAATAAGTTGCCACCCTCCAAAAAAACTTTTGAAGAAAATCAGTGCAATTTTGCGGATGGAGTAAATTTTTAAAATCATAAAAAATTATCGCTTTAAAATCTTTTACACGTAAGTTCCATTTTTGCTACGGATTATTAACCTCAACTTGTACTTAATAACCAAACACGTTTCTTGCTACGCCGCTGATTGGGGAATGTTAAACATTGGTCAACTTAAATACAGCTTAACGCTGCTGTGTTTTGTATAGTGAGTGTAGAGAACCGGAGACCCTTTTTACTGGATATGATGCATTTCGTCTTCGTATTCAGGGATAAAAACTAGAGACAAATAGATGTTGGTATCTATGGGTCGCAGCATCCACTTATCATCAGGTGGACAGTGTGCTCGTTTGGCATCCTTATTTTATAAAAAGAAAAAGAAATCAAAACAAAAAAATATATACATAAATAACCTCCTTGCTTACCGTACACGACCGCTTGCTGCGGGAAGAGATAGGAGAAAAGTTTTAGCGACGCTATCAACTGCAGAGCAATTTGTATTCGTCGGATAGAGAGCAACGTCGCTGGCGGGTCCATTTCTTATCTGCAGTTGGAATAGAAAGTTGTACAACTGTTTCAAAGTAAATTTATAACTATTTTATAACAAGATTCTCTGTATTTCATGTTTATTTGCATGGTATTTTAATAGTTTCTTTTTAGCACCTAGCCACTTTCATTTATCTCTTTCTTCTAGGGTTGACTGATACATAACGCAACAAGGCATTATGTCCGTCAATTGTAACATTTAGTATAAGGTGTCTTACAATAAAGATTAAGTAGATAAATATTACCAAGTTGCCTTTGCATAAACTTAAGGCATTTTTATTGTGAGATAACAGCGTGAGGGCATCAAGAACAAGAACCGTGGTACCTTAAGGACTAAGGACTCGCTGTAAATTTCACAGTACGCGAGCAACCCGGGTTCTATTCCCACCGACACCAAAGAAATTGTTAATTGCAATTTTAAAAAAGCGGCATATCATCATATCTTCAAAGATTTTAAATGTTAAATGTTTTTTTTTTTATATTATTTAAGCTTTATAAATATATTTTTATTTTTAAGTTGGAGCCCGTGATTGGTTTAGTTTATTGCATCTATGTCTCTGTCGCCGTACTGTAAATCAAAGTTACTCGTATAGTTGTCGCTATACGGTTTGTATAACATTTCTGATGAGCAGACGACTGATATAGATAACCGACTTCAATTTTTTGTATTTATTTTACGTGATATCTTCCTAGATTGTGAACCAATCATCAAGATTGAATTTAACATCAGCACGTCGGTGACGTGAACTTATAAGATTTTAACTATCAAAAGTTGTCCGACACATCTAAAGAAGTTCTCACTTCGAAAAATTCCACACAAGAGAGTATAATAGCGGTCTGATATTCAATTCAAAAATCTTTTCAAGGTAATTCTGCTAACAATGTTCAGAACAAAATATTGCAAAATACTGCGTACTAAATACTAGACTGCCTATTTATTTATTTATTTATTCACAAATGGCGTTACATATGACTTAGTGACTAAACAAAACATACGCACCTCGAAAGGCATAGCAATGAACAGGAATTGGTCTATTGATCGTAAAGGGTACTATACGGTATCGGGTTCGAATCCTGAGTCGAATCAAAATTAGGTATTGGATTTTTCTGTCAATTAATTCTCATTAGCAGGCTAGAGTCAAAAACTTGTTTTAAACTTGTTTGTTGCCATTGTTTTACCCAGTAGTCGTATTAATTTGCCAAACCATGAGAGTGAGAGAAAAGGGAGTGCAGCTGTCCTTGCGCACACTTGTGCATTATAATCCTGACCTATGCAGATGGCTCGTCTCTGTTGAGACTCGCCACCGTGACCGAAACTCGATCTGAAGGGACATTGAGACTGAATTGCAAGTGTTGGGACCTGTTTGCGTATAGTAGCAACGTAAAAGAAGCCACTTCACCATGTCTTAACGGGGATGTCGTAAGAGACGACAGAAGGAAATCGAACAGGGGATGGGCAGCAGCATCTTCATAATAGCAACTCAAGATAATAAAAAACTGTATTTGATAACTCGTGTGCCAAGCGTGGCAACTGCTGCAACCCCTATGAGGCAAACCATGCCGGAGATCCATGTTTAGCAGTGGACTTCTAACAGGCTGTAATGATGATGATGAAAACATTGGGAAAAATAGTCCACTTATAAGTTACAAAGCGCTTCTTCTCACGAGGTTTCGCACGTTGTTGAAGCGGTGATGTAACTTTTTTATATAAAAAAGGAAAGCCTATGTTTGTTAAATTATTTAAATAAAAGCTAACCTATGCTTGTAAAAATAGGTTTAAGAAATGCTATAGAAAACCGGACATACTGTCCGTGTAGCGGTGGTTTAAGAATATCGTAAAAGGCCGTCCCGTGGGTGTCGTAAAAGGCAACATAAGAAAATAAATCAGAAAATAGGTAGAACAGAATAAATAATATTTTTATTTTACTACTTTTATTGGTTGGAAAAAACCTCTTTTCAAGGAAAAACTAGCAAAATAACCCAACGGAACAAAGTATATAACACGCGTGGGTAGCACCGTCTTCCTAATAACAACTAAAATATAAAACTGCGGTTGCCAACCCGCCTGCAAAGCTTGAACTGAACTGTTCATCTTCTGTTTTTATTCTCTGTCGCCTCCTACGACACTCACGGGATGATATGGGGTAGTGGATACTCATACACCGCCGCTACAAAGTTTGTAATAAGACACGTATGTGTTGAGTACACTTTATGAAACAAAAAGAAAAAATAAATCCACTTACAAAACTCTCCTCTCGAACGGAACGCACTGCCAAATGTCAGTTGCAGAACGTGAAAGACTAAAATCTCCCTGTGTACCAAGTATTTACATTGTCCGATGAGACAATCTCTGGCGTCATCTGTGTAACAACAATCAGTTTAACAATTGCAAAGAAACTAAACATAAATATTAGTTCATTGGTTTGAATAGTTACATAATTATCTTTTGTAGGTGGCTCAGAAGCTAAAGGATCGTCATAAATATTAAACATATTATATTTAGTTCATTTTCATACAGTTACTGTGTTGATCCTTTACTATTTCTCTTACTAATCATATTGCACATCCAAAGTAGTGTTCTCTTCGTAGTCCGCCTTTGTATATTTTGTACAACGAAGTTGAAATAAATAAATTTTAAAGTATGCGAACATCCAGATTTCGATTTCCGTCGGCGACTATTAGTTGAATCTTTCAGTGTTGATTTAATACTTGCTCGGCATGATGGAAGATATCTTGTGGATACTTAACGTATGTCTAAAGCGTTAGAAAACATCGAAGACGTGAATTCCGCCAACATTGGGACAGCGTGGCCTACATTTATTTGTCCTAAAACTCTCTCAAGAATGAGAGGGAACCTGTGCTTGGATTTAGGACCAAATATGGTGGTTTAGTCACTCAATTTTATTACGAGTATAAATAAAATCTCCCAGAACACCGGCCACATTTTAAATAGTAGTAAGTATGATGTTTCGTATAAAAACCGTAGAATTTGCTATAGACGAAGAATTCGATTTAGTCCTCAAGAGTGACCACGGCAAGCATTTCGTTTTGATTCCTAATCGAAAAGATCTAGTTGTCTCTGGGACACAGAATCTAATAACTATCAGGTGATTTGTGTATTCATCCTGTATCTAATAACCCTCAAGAAAATTATTTGTAAAAAAAAAGAGTGTTATGTTTGTTCAAAGTTATAAAGTTACGGTCTTTTTCATAAAAATCACTTAAACATTTTAAAACTTTTCAAGGCTATAATAATAATGTCCTTCAGACCACGGCGTCAATTTTACGGAATACTAGACATTATGCGCTGGACAGGATTACAGTGCCCTAGTGTATGCGTGAACACCGGTGCACTAATTTATTCCCTCACTCACATAGTCCGATGGGACGGTAATCTGACTTGACAAGAGTGACATCAGGCGCAGGACTAACGGCTTTACGTGCATTCCTAGGCACGGGGGTTAAACACCGCCAACTTACTGACTCCGGGCCGCTACTGAGAATTTCTTGATAGAAAAACCTAATAACTGATTTTGTCCCGACCCGGGATTCGAACCCGGAACCACATGATCAGCAATCGCTAGGCCAACGTGCCTATACCACTCATTAGTAAGATGGGCAACATTACGAAGTTTTTATAGCTATGGGCTTTGTTTCAGATCTAACTGCTGTCCGCAGCTCAGACCACATGAAAACAGAAAGGCTGTCATGTTAATTTTTACTTTACAGACATAAAAAATATACCATGAATTAATGCACGACATGGTGTATGTGTGTGCCGAATTTCATCCAAGTCCTTCCCGGGTATAGCTGTGGCATGGCTCTCATCATCATCATCATCATTACAGCCCTTCACAAGTCCACTGCTGAACATAGGCCTCCCCCAAGGAATGCCACAAAGCACGATCCTGAGCCACCTGCATGGCATGGCTCTACCACGTTAATATTTACGCCATCACTACATTCATAGAGAGCACTTATCTCCTGAACTACCGCAGTGCAAAAAAAGCAACATCTAAGGTGGAACTAATCTGTTACTCCTACCGTCGACCCAAAAAGTTCTTGGTGGTAGGACTCCTTTTCTGCGTAGAAGTCGGTCTGCATACTCTCACCTATTTCTGACTTTACGTGGTAGAGCCATGCTGCAGCTATATTAATAGTATAGTTGTAGCACGAATGGGGCGGTGGGGCGGCGACCGGGGAAGGACCACGCTCTCACAGAATACCAGCGTAAAATGGCAGCTTGGCACTGCTGTATTTCGTATGGTGAGTGTAGAGACCCGGAAACCTATTTTACTGGAAAAGAGCCATTCCATCTTAGTCCTCACGGGTGACAACGCATTTGCATTTTGATTTGTAATAGAGGATAGATGTAGATGTCTATGGGTCACAGCAACCACTTACCATCAGATGGACTGTGTGCTGGTTTGTCACCCTATCCTATAAAAAAGTAGCAGTGCGTGTTCTACTGTGTTCCGATCTGTAGAGTAAATACAACCTGTATAGTAACGGGCTATAAGGTATTCCCTTTTAGATCTCATCTTCTTTATATGAAGTTGGTTGCATGTGACCATTGGCTTCAGCAGCCACATAAGTAAGTTCAATTTTATAAAGAAATATTAAAAATGATTTTGTATTCTCACACACGTACTGAGTAGTTGCTTAGTAAACACGTATCTATTTAGCTTCGCCTATAAGTCGTTAATACAAGTGCAAAATCGTCAATATTTGATGTGTGGCAGACACCGTTTTGTGAGTGAACTTATAACCTATTTTATTGTGAAAAATCTTGCATAACAGTTCTAGTATCGTGAAATAATCTTGTTAAAACTATCTCAACATTACAAAATCTGCGGGTAATTATAAAGTGTCGGTGATTTTTGTACACAAGTAAACAATTTATGTAAACAACAACAACGAGTATGCGTCTTCTCGGGTTATTGTTTTTTTTTAACTGACTAATAAAAAAAAATTTCAATTCTTTTAATTGACCTTGTTGGTGGTATCGGACATTATATAAAATTTATTATTAGAAAAGTAAAATTATAGTATAAGTACGATTAACGCCTACCAATTTGCATTCAGCAACTTTGCAGTAAAGTGTATTTTGTTGCAAACCTCAGTGATAAATAATAGTATAATGTCTGCCGACAACAATGATTGGGGATGCTGTGGTGATAACCCTGACACAGAAGAGTACATTAAGTGCCAGAAATGCTCAAAAAAGTTTCATGTGGCCTGTCTCAGCTCTCCCTCCGTAATAAAACCAAGTGAGCTTTCGACATGGGAATGTCCTCTATGTACCAGCCTACGACCCAAAACTGGGCATAACGACAACACGCCGGTGCGATTTAACCCTAATGTCACGGTACGGGCTTCTAAAAGACAGGCACTGCAGTCACCTCCAATAATAGGAGCGTCGGCTGATGAAGTTAGAGGGATCATGCAGGAGTATTGTAAGAGCATTACATCTAAAATCGATTCCCTAACTATTTCCATTAGTTCTGAAATAAAATCAGTTAAGGAGGAGATGCTGGAAATTAGGAGCTCTATGGATTTCATGAATTCCAAATTCCAAAAGAAACTAAACAGGCGATGGTTGATTTCCAAAAAGAAAACAGTGCTCTAAAGATCAATGTTAAGGACCTCACGGCGCGAATTAATACCCTTGAACAGAACGCACGAGCTATGAATGTAGAAATACAGTGCATTCCTGAGAAAAAAAATGAAAACTTAATGCAAGTAGTGACACAACTGGGTACTGTACTTAAGTGTAATGTTAAAAACGAAGATGTTATCAACTGTACACGTATCGCCAAGATCAACCCTAATAGTACGCGACCAAAATCAATTGTAGCCCAATTCGCCAATAAAAAGATTCGTGATGAGTTTTTAGCAGCATCCATAAATTTCAACCGAAAAAAGGCAATGCAGGATAAGCTTAATAGCTCGCATCTGGGATTCAACGGTGAAAAATCTCCAATATTCATTGTGGATCACTTGTCCCCCATGAATAAATCGCTTCATGCCGCAGCTAGAAAGATTGGTAAAGAAAAAGGATACAAAGATGTGTGGGTTAGGAACGGGCGTATTTTTATGAGAAAAACTGATAATTCCGACTATATGCTTATCAGAGATATGGACTCGTTAAATTGTATTAAGTAGTTGTAATGATAACGATTATGTTAATTTAATACAAGTAATTGGATAAAAATCTATAAAATTCACTTCTATATCTATATATTATCAAAATGTTCGAGGGTTGCGCACTAAAACCCACATATTTTTACAAAATCTGCTTATTTCAAATTATGATGTTATTGTTCTAACAGAGACCTGGCTGAATAGTAAAATACTTGACTCTGAACTTTTTGGTGAGGGATATGCCGTATACAGAAGGGACAGAGAAATGTCCGGCTTTAACGTGAAAAAAGAGGGGGGTGGGGCACTAATTGCAATTTCTAAACGTTTAAATTCGAAGCGTATGCTGAACTGGGAAAGCGAATGTGAGGATGTTTGCACTAGCTCTGTGTGCGGTATATCTGCCACCCCCGGTTCAAACATCAATGCTAAAACATTTTATCGATAACTTTAACCATGTTTCCGAACTATTTAATTCACATGTCTGTGTACTTGGCGACTTTAATTTGCCGACCTTAGACTGGAATTTGGTCGGGAGTCCATCTTATAACTTATCATCACTGCACCAGTATTTCATTGATTTCGTCAATGTAAATAATTTAACACAACATAGCTCTATAACAAACAATATGGATAGATCTCTCGATTTGGTCTTGGCCAATACATCATCCTGCGTGGTTGCTGAGGCCGTAGACATTTTGTGTCCTATTGACCCACTACATCCACCTCTCTCTATAGAACTCTCTCTATTAGAGAGGCCAAAATTACAGTCCAATGCTATGAGTAGGTTTAACTTTCATAAAGCAGATTACGTTGCTATTAATGACTATTTAGCTGAAGTTGATTGGAAGTCTCTTTTTTATGGGAACAGTGATGTAAATATGAAACTTGAATTATTCTTGGAGGTTGTTAACAAAGTCATTCATAAATTTGTACCAATTGTCAAACCAAAAACTAACAAATATCCTCCCTGGTTCAGTAAAGACTTGATTAGTCGCTTACGAGAGAAAAATAGGGTTAGAATAAGGTACAAAAAATACAGGCACCCCCTGGACAGGATATCATATCGTCTACTGACCGACCGCTGCAAAAAATTAGCTTCTGAATGCTACAACGCATATATTCGTAAAATTGAGGACGGAATTTTAACGAACCCGAAACTGTTCTGGTCTTATATTAAATCCAAACGTGGTGGCTCTGGAACATATCCAGCTACGATGACGGACGGTAATACAGTAATACAAAATGGTAATGACATATGCAACAGCTTTGCATCTTACTTCTTCTCTACTACCTCAAATCTTGGTGTCCCATGTGACATAAATACTGACGAGAACATTTTTAGTACATCAGTGGGGGGAGCAATCGATTGTTTTTCAACTCTAAATCTTTCCCGCAAGCAAATTTACAAAAAATTAGTCAATATTGATGTAACGAAGGGCACTGGGAGTGATAATATTTCACCATTGTTTATTTCACGATGTGCGTCATGCCTGGTGGAGCCTTTATTTATTATCTTTAATAACTCATTAAGTTCTGGGGTTTTTCCCAAAGCTTGGAAGGTTTCTAAAGTGGTGCCAATTTATAAGGCAGGTGATGCTCAGATCATTAGTAACTACAGGCCTATTTCCATATTGTCCTCATTAGCTAAAGTATTCGAGTCTCTAGTCTGCCCTATTCTTCAAGCGTACTTCGACAAGTATTTAAACGACAACCAGCACGGCTTCACAAAAGGTAGGTCTACTAATACTAATTTAGTTACATATGTGGAAGACATTGTAAGTCGCATTGATGGCAATAAACAAGTAGACGCAATATATACAGACTTCAGCAAAGCCATTGACAGAGTAATCCATCGACGGCTTCTGGCAAAACTATCTGCATACGGAATAGGGGGTTCTGTTCTAGCTTGGTTCGAATCGTATCTAAGTGAACGCTCTTTCTATGTAGTCGTTAATGGTTTTAGCTCAGAGCTACGAGATATCACTTCTGGTGTTCCGCAAGGTTCACACCTAGGCCCTATTCTCTTCAATATCTTCGTAAACGATATACCTAATTATATACAATACTCATCCCCTTCGATGTTCGCAGATGACCTAAAAATTTGGAAAATCATTGAAACACAAGATGATGTTTTGCATTTACAAAAAGATCTTGACGCGCTAGTGAAATAGTGTCAGACGAATGGAATGGAGCTCAATATCAATAAATGTGTTCACATTAAATTCACTAGGAAATTGAATCCTATTCCATCCATCTACAGCATCAATGGGATTCGATTAGGAGAAAGGGCAGTAGTAAGGGATCTGGGGGTGCTTATGGATAATAAAATGACATTTGTCCCACATATTGACTACATCATAGGCAGGGCGTCCAAGATGTGGGGTTTTATTATCAGGAACGCTAGGGTATTCAAACGCCATTCCTCAAAAATTGCGCTATACAATAGCTTGGTTAGATCGATCCTTGAGTATGGAAGTGTAGTCTGGCGTCCACATTATGCTACTCACACACTTCGTATTGAACGCGTTCAAAAACGATTAATAAAACACTTGGTGTTCTCACACTTCTGGCATAAAAGATTTAGCCCCTACAAGGACCTACTAGACTTTCTAAAGATGCAGAGCTTGGACAACCGCAGGGATATACTGGACCTATCCTTCTTTTTCAAGATAATAAGATATCAGTTGCATTGTCCTGCACTCCTGATGAAATTTAACTTTAAAGTTCCATCACGAATGCCTCGTAAGCCCATCGAACCTCTCTCTCGTCCATTTCGCAAAACAGTTTTGGGAGCCAATTCACCGGTTTCCAGAATTTCCCAACTATATAATAAGTGCGGTGGGTCAATAGATGTTAATGTTATGTCTCTAGCTAAGTTTAAGGCCACAGTAAACCATACACTATTTAAGTAACTAGGTGTAAGTCAGTGTTTCATATACCTACATAATATTATTTTGTTCTATTCTAAGTTTTTGTGTTTAAAAAAATGCAAAAACTTATAATGGAGCGGAGCAGGATGATGTTATGTGGGTGTATACATATGCATAATATTATTTTGTTCTGTTCTAAGTTTTTGTATTTTTTTTGTTGTTTTTCACTAGGTAACTTTTTAGTAACTTGAAGCATGTGGTGTATACCTTTAATTGATTGTACAATTAGTATATAAGTGGATGTGTATTTACTATTTCTGCATTGTTGTAACAATCGTTGGTGTACCTAAATAAATAAATAAATAAATAAAAACAAACAAAACATATAAAATCTTTTAAAATTAGCGCGTCACATCTTTATTACAAGCACCGGTAAACGTCGTAAAAGTAACATTTTGTCACAAAATGGCCAAAGTTTATCGTTAGAAAGTCTGCGTTAATAAAAAAATTAAAACAAAAGTGTAATTATCTCTCCCATAAATTGCTATATCTTAATTAGCGCTCTTTACAACAGATGGTGAAATCTCTTTTGCTCGTAATAATGTTTTAATATGATAATAATTACACGATTTCGTGCTTCCATTTAAATATAATTTTATATTTAATGTTACGTATAAAATTCTGTTTTATAATATTAATACACATCTAAATGTTTTATAATTTAAAGTACTTATCATCAAAGAGGAGAAATGAAATATGACGTTCGAAAGATACTTACTATGCTATAAATGTACGTCACAATAAAGAAAATCATGCGTTGCCCTGGTAAAATAAAAATGACATGATTTTTCCATACGAAACCATTATATCATCATCATCATCATTACAGCCCTTCACAAGTTCCACTGCTGAACATAGGCCTCCCCCAAGGAACGCCACAAAGCACGATCCTGAGCCACCTGCACCCATCGACTTCCTGCATGCCTTAACAGGTCGTCACTCCATCTAGTGGGGAGATACCCTACACTTCGCCTGCCGGTACGAGGTTGCTACTCGAAAACCTTTCTTCCCCATCGGTTGTCGGTTCTTCGAGTTACATGGTCGGCCCATTGCCACTTCAGCATACTAATTCTTTGGGCTATGTCGGTTACTCTGGTTCTACTGCGAATATCCTCGTTTTTAAGTATATCACGCAGAGAAACACCGAGCATTGCCCTTTCCATAGCTCGCTGAGCGACTTTGAGCTTCCTCATACGGCCAGCAGTGAAGGACCACGTCTCAGATCCGTAGGTCATCACTGGCAACACGCACTGGTTGAACAATCTAGTGTTGAGGTTCTGAGGTATGTCTAACGAGAACGACGGCACAAAACAAAAATCATGTTTAACGTCCATGGCACACCTATGCCGGTAGTTGTTGGGAGCACTAAGCTCGAAGTTGTTAACGAATATGATTATCTGGGACAAATAGTCCGACTAGGTATCACCCCCTTAGACATTGAATTTTCAGACACTCTAGGACACGAACTGTTTATTTCTAATCTTTAACCTAAAAACAAAGTTTCAGGCTTCTAGCTCTAAAAGTGACGAACTTCCATACAAACCCCTTTTTCACC